ATTCTTGTTTGGGGTTTGGCAAATTAAAGGTTTTATCCGATATAACCATAAGGTTGATAAGCACATCATCATCATCTAGTATTGTTGTTATTTTTTGTAAATGCAATGCAGTGAACACCTTAGGGATGAATAATAAGTTGACAAGAGTTTAGCAGGTGATATAAAAGTACAAAGGGACAGATGTCCAGAGGAAAACAAAGAGCCTCAAAGTAAAAAAATACTAAAAAGTGATATAAGTAAAATGTAGTGAAAAACAAATAAGAACAATTAACAATAGTCAAGGAAAGTAAGAGTCATAAGTTGTTGCGCTACTAAATCGTTGTTAGTGTCTAGTGTAAATGTGATGTATAGACAGAATTGGTAATGGAGTAGAATTATTCGTTTTATAAGTAGTTATAATGTAGTCTGTATTATTAGGGTGATAAACATACATTATGGATATAAGTGTGTCATGAACGTCTCGAGTACAGTATGGATTCGTGCCTTATGGTACAGTGTGAACACATGAAGACCTCCAGTTTTCATCTGAGACTGGTATCCCAAAAGAAGTTCCACTCTGGGTCTACACCAGGGTGTTTTTTTAAGGTATCCCATTGTGTTATCCCAAAAGAACTATTCTCAGAGTATCCAGTCAGGACAATTGCCACAGACTCCTGAATTGACACTGAGACCAGAGGAAACTTAGTGGGGTTCAGTACAACTTGCAAACAATAGTAAGTAATTTTTTTGACTTGAGTGTTGATAAGTGCAGTGGTTTGTCAAAGTGTAGCATGGGCCAATGAGAGTTGTGAACTGTTTTGAATTCTTTTAGCTGTGTGTAATGTAAATAGTTAATATGATGTACTCGTGTGTAACTATTGTAGTAGCATGTCTCGATAGTAAGTATTATCAGTATAAAAATAGTTAAAAGTCATTTAAATTGGTGTAACGTAAGCTATACGTGAGTACTAGGAGTCCAATAAGCGTATATCTTTAAAAAATATAACAAACTATTACAACTCGATAAACTAGAAGTGTTAAATAGAGTTATATCAATACAGCAACACTGACTTGTATATGTATTTTGGAACTAATAATCTGTATATATATTTAACAGCTAACAAACTAAAATTGTATGCATAAGCATGTGTTTGTTAATATTGTAAGTACTCTTCTTTGTAGGTTTTGTTAGGTAAATGAACTTACCTTTAGTATATGTGGTTGTTAGAAAGTAGCCAATGTAGTGTACGTGTGTGTGATCAATTTAGTAGTATGTCTTGATAGTAAGAGTTATCAGTATAAAAAATAGTTGAAGGTCATTTAAATTGGTGTAACGTAAGAGTTCTACTAGTCCTATAACATGTATCTGGAAAATAAACAAATTATTACAACTAGATGATATATAATATTAAACTAAAATAACATCAGTATAGCAACAAAAACTAATAAGTTTCTTAACTACTAATCTGTATAAATATTTTATTATTAATACTTAAAAATCATATGGAGTTTTGTATTTTAACAGGTAAATGTATGAGGTTCCAAAATGTGTTTGGTATTTTGTATAAGTAAAAAGATTAACAGTGCATAAGTCACGTTACGAGAAGTAACGTGACTTATGCACTGTTAATCTTTAACATCTCGTAACATTCATAAGAATGTTACGAGAAGTATCCAAAGTGGAGTAGAATTATTCGTTTTATAAAACTGTTGGCAAGTAGCCTTTAGTTACTTAACAATCTGTATGTATAGCATGGCCTGTTTTTTATTTAATAATATTTATAGTGACTTGTGTCTTAAGTCTTTCAGTGTGAGTTTTTTGTATTAAAATAATATTGTTAAAAACTGGTTCTTGAAAATAAGTAATGTAATGTCTAGTGATAGTGTGAAATTATTGTATTTTGTTTTTTTATTATTTATTAGCTTAATAACTCCTTTTTAGTATTTTCCTATTATTTTAACAGTGTGAAGACAATACAACAACAATAACATGTATTTAGATGTAAGTATACTAATTAAGTGTTAATACTTATCTTTTATGAAAAGATGTGTATGAGTGTACATGATAGAGCTAGAGTGTAATTATTTGTTTTTTAAGTAGTTATTATTGAATGTAACAGAGCTGGAGTAAAATTATTCGTTTTTTAATTAGTTATCAGATGGTAAAGATATTATCACAATAACCCTGACAGGGGGGTTAGAGTAATTTGTATAGAATAATCAAAATTTTAGAGCATTTATGGTGACAGTAGAAGTCAGTAATTGTAATGGTCATGGTTAGCTAAACTGTTAGTATTTGGTCTGACTGATGAATAGTAATGGTAATATTTGGATTGGAATGATTCGTTTCATAAATATTTTTTGTGGTGTTGTTTGCGTCATAGGAATGATAAATATAAGCAGCCGTGGCGCAGTGGTAGCACACTTGCCTCAGAAACGTAAGATCCGTGGTTCAAACCCCGCCTCTGGGCAAGTTTTGCGACATCGGTTGGGAAGGAGGCGTGAACTTCTTATTAAATGCTCTTCCGCGGTGCTCTGTGATAAGACCGTAAGGACTTCTTGGGGCACCTAAAATCAACATAAAAAAAAATAAATAAATAAATATACATAGTAAAAAGATGCAGTGAATATTGAAAGAGTATTAGATATGGCACCTTTATTTTACTTGACAGTAGTTGTATATTAAATATTATGTATAATATTTATATGTATACTCTAGTAGTATTATATTGAAGCATATATAGAAATATATATACAAATACATGGAAGAAAATACAAATACATATATACAAATACATATATACACATACAAATACATTGAAGCATATATACACATACATATACACACACTGATAAACATGATTATATGTGTATTCATACAAACACATATGAGTATGTATGTGCTCACGTATGCTCACATATATATATCCTTATAATTATATATATACATATTCCATAACATCCCTAAATCATTTATATGTATTATATACAATACAATAGCTATTTCACAATGATCCAATCTGGATAAAGTATAATCCTATATGCATAAATAAAGAGTTATAACTTCTAGAAATACCAGTATAAATATTAGAATGATAAGCATAAGTGTATTGAAAGGTAGATGATTAAAATATAGGTGTTTTAATATCCAATTACCCATGTAGTGTCAAGATGACTTTTCGAAGATCTGGCGCCTGACCAATTGTTTAAATGTAGACAACAATTTTCAAATTTGATTAGAAATTTTACTTGACAAAATTATTAATACTCCTTTTAAATGGATAAAAAGATTTATATCTATATCTTGACATCGATTTAAATCTTATTGATTTATTTAATTTTGAATAATTTATAGAATAGATAATTTTGAACTTTTTTCAAAATCATTTTTTGCTTTTCCATTTGTCTGTCGTAGCTTAATATTCAATTTAGGTGATAATTGAAAGAGATGTTTCATAAAGCGGATCCAGCTATGAAGTAGGCTTATCAAAATGTGTGAAAATGCTTCAGTCTTAAATACTTTTGTTTATGTAATTTTCAATGTACTGAGATTCAGTAAAAATTTAATAGAAAAGCAAGTCCTTATTCTAGAGATATATATTTATTTCTTTGCTATTTTTTTTTTGCTTTGTTTTTACCAAATAGATGTTTATTTGTCAACTTAGTTTATGGATTTACATATAGATTACAATTAATACAAATATTAAATTTTTTTTTAATCAAATACAATATGAATACAAATACGCCAATTTAGTCCATTACTACCAAATAGAATTACAAATACATTTACAAATACGTATTTAACTCCAACCCTGGTAATGAATGCTCAAATTATTAAACTTCAGTCTATTCTAAAAATTAAATTATTAATTAGAAGTCATAGGGGAAAGCGGAGCAAGATGACAAATGTTTTGAAAGCCCTGAGTTAAAATGAAATAAAACTTGAAATAAAAAATTCATAAATTTGTTATCTGGTCACGTGACCGGGGCAAGATGACTTATTTTGCGAATTCTGCTTTCAATTTTTTAAATATTTAAAAATTACTAACTACTCTAACTAAAGTAACAAAAAATAAAAGAAAATATTTCTTAAAAAGTTACACCCGAAAGTCACCATTCATTTTGATTAACTGAAAGAAAATTATTTTTTTAAGCGCAAAAAAAGTAAACTAATGCGTATAAAATTGCGTTAATATTATTTAAAAAAACTAATTGGCGTTTTAAAATACAAGATGTAAATACAGTTTCGTTTTCACCTATTTTTAAGTTTTTTTGTTAAGTCGAGTTAAATGAAAATTGAGTTATATGGAAAGCCATCTTGTCCCGTTTTGCCCTATATGATTAAACTTCTTTTTATGAAAGTGTCAACATTCCACAAATGTGTGAAACTTGAATGTAAAATAATTGTGAAATTGTGTACATTTTTAAACTGAATTATTTTAGTCTGGTTAGGGTTTAGCAGATTAGATATTAGATTAGCAGTATTAGTATTAGATTAGTGGATAGATTTATGTTATCATATCAACATTGACGATTGCGTGGAGATCGATTGACTTTTAAAAACCGTTTATTAAACTAGTTGGACTAGTGAAGTACAACTCGAACTTTACTTTTATTTATTTTTTTCTCTTTTCTTACTTAAAATTGGTTGGCATTAGTCCCAAATACATAGACTTCAGCATTGTAAGAATACTAGGGTAGACATACCCTTTGTGTAAAGGTTGCCTGAATGTTCAAATAAACAGGTGTGTGGGCAGATCTATTTACACGATCTTATCAATATTATTTTTATATATATCTGGGAATACAACTTATATTTATCTGATAAATATCTAAATTTTGTTTGCCGTCTAAAAATTCTTACTAATGAATATTGGCAGTTTTTAATACTTCAAGTAAATAACTAAGTAATCTGATTTGTTTAACCCTCTGAATAGGATATGCCTATATTTGAACTATATTAATAACAACTAATAATATCTAAAAAAAAACAAAAAAAAACAAAGAAAATAAAGCTTTCATTATTTTATAAAATCATTCTTTGTATTTTTAAAAAGAATACAAGTTTTTCTTGTTTATTTATTACGCTTCATTGATGAAGGGATTAACGCAATGAAAAAAATCATTAAATTTTGCAAGTGCGAACCATTCCATTAATGTTCGATATATATTTTTCCATGTCTTTAATACGGTTTGAAACTTCATCTAATTTTAGGTTTGGCTTGCTAAACAAAGCTACAATTGCCTGAAATAAAATTAAGTTAAATAGAGAATTATTATATAAATAAAAAACTCTTAAAGAAATTACTAATAGGAGTAAAATTTAAAATATATAGAATATGTTAAAAAAAAAAAAAAAATTGCTTATGACGCTTATATATCATAGCCAATAATATTAAATAAGTATTATTATCTTATATTAACATAAAATCTTATAACAATGGTGTTATAATACTATTTCTATACAATTTTTACCATTTTTTATGGAAATAGTGTTTAGGCGTGCTTTTTAAACTTTTTTTTTAACATACCAAAAATATTTTTATTGACGATTTTCTTTACAAATAGATTTTTACAAAAACTAATAATATTTTAAATTCATAAAAAAATTATATATATATATATATATATATATATATATATATATATATATATATATATATATATATATATATATATATATATATATATATATATATATATATATAACAGTGGCGACAATATAAATAGCACACTTCCATCACCAGTTGGTCTAACTTTTTGATATTAAGTTTTATGTTTTTATAGCACTGTTACTGTTATTTTTTATAGCATCAACAATGTTTACTTTTTTGAATGGAACTACTCATATAACTATCAAAATAGCTTGTTTTGAGCATTTTAACGGTAGCGTTTATTTTTTGAGGTTATTTTAAATAGTACACATTTATTTATTTTTTTATATAAAAAAACAAAGTTCTTGTATTATATCAAAAGAAAATCATTATACTCAGTATTTTTTAGGATAAACTAGTAATTCATTTTGCAAAAATCATATTCTTTCAACTATGGGACAAAATAAACATGGAACAGATGTCTTTCGAGGATAAATACATGCATTTCGAGATCAAGAATTGAACAACTCTGATTGGGTTGTTCTCGTAAAAAAGTTATTAATACTATTAATTTATTTAACAATACTGGTTCATTAAGCAACAAAAAACGCAAGTCTCGCGAACGAAAGACTACCCCCAGGGAAGACACAGCCATCGCCCGTATTGCTAAGCTAAATCTTTTTGTTGGCGCACCAAAATATCAAGTCGCTCAAAATTTTTAAGTCAATCTATCAGCACTGCCAAAAGTCGTTTAGGCAAAAATAAGCTATGTGGAAGAGTTGCCCCAAGGGACAACGGATTAACACATGTACAAAGAAAAACTAGAAAACGTCATTTTACCTAATGCCGAAGAAAATTTTTCTTTGGTTTGGAAATTCCAACAAGAAAATGACCCCAAGCACACCGCCATAAATGTTAAAATGTTAACACTAACAAGATTGATGTTTTGGAGTGGTCAAGTGGAGTGGTCACAGTCACCAGACCTAAATCTGATAGAAAGTTTGTGAAAGGAAGTTCACGGAAAAATAAATCGATCAACTGTAACAAATTTTGGATCGAAATAAAAGCTGCTTAGGGCGCGATTACGCCCGAACAATGCCAAAAATGATCTCGTCAATGGGCCGTCGTTTTCAAGCAGTTATTGACTCAAAAGGATACCCCACTAAATATTAATTTACCTCAAATAAAGTTTACTTAGCTATTTAAACAAAAACAGTTTGAGAGATTTGAATGTCTAATAATGAACCTGTTTTCTCAGGATGACATGTGGGTGGCTCAAAATTACATCAAAATATTTTTTAGTCTAGAGTAGAAAGGTGTGCCTTGTTTTATATATATAGAGTCTTTTTTTTTTATATACCAAAGAAACAAAATAATAATGCGTTAACAGAGTGTCCTATTTTTAATAATATTATTCGACACAATTAAGTACAAACTTATTTTAATAAAGTCAATCAAACGTATAAATAATGTTCTAGCATTTATTAGCTTATTATAAATAAACAATTAATGCAATTTACCATAATTACAACTAAAGAAAAATAAACAAACAAACAAACAAAAAAAACAGAAAACTTTTATTAAATTATGTTTCTGAGAAAACAAAATCTTAAAAATACTTATATATAAAAAAACTTACTTCAGACAGTTTTGATGCTGCAGTTATGCCTTTTGTTTTTTTGGTTGTTAAAGCCTTTTGGAGCTTTCCTTTTAACTGCCTCACAAACCTAGCAATGTTTTGAACACCATTTCGCTTTAATGCACTTTCAAATTTTGATTTAAATTCGTTTAATGCTGTAGCACTGTATTTGGATAGTTTCTTTTTAATCAAATCAGAGAAATACTGAGTACCTAAAATAATTAAATTCTAATTTATATAAGAAACTATATAAATATATATATATACTTACATATATATATATATATATATATATATATATATATATATATATATATATATATATATATATATATATATATATATATATATATATATATTTAACAAATATATATATATATATTTAATAAATATATATATATTTATTAAATATATATATATAGATATATTTAATAAATATATCTATTTAACAAATAATAGGCAGTCAGATGTTATTGGAAGTTCAAACAATTTTATTTTGTTAGAACAACTACATTTTTGATTGTTCATGATATGTTAACAAATTCTTTCTAAACAAAGCAAATTATTTAAATTGGAAGTTGACAAAAAGGAAAACAATTGAAAAGACTCAAAAAACTATATACTAGACGAGTCAGGTAAACATGAAAATTCTAGAGAATTCCAAAGCATTGGTGTGCAAGCAAAAAGATTATTTAAAAAAGTTTTATTATGAAGAAACAGTTACAGTAAAATATGCAACTTAACAGATTGACAAGTCACCTGATATTGAATTCGGTTGATGAAACAAGAAATAATAATTTCTAATAAAGCAGAAACTATGGAAATTTTTGTAGAAAGTGAAAGAGATTCAACATTACAACAATGGGAGCTAAGAGTAAGCAAATGATAACAATAAAGAGAGACAACCTTAGAGGTTCAATTGTTTTATTATTGTTATTTTTTTAATTTTATTTGCATCTCTTTCAACTTAAAACTTCAAAAATACAACACTGCACAGAGAAAGTTAAGTGCAGTAATTCCAGAGAGGAAGGGTAGATTTGACCCTCAAACCTCAGGATGGTAAAGTGTTCTACTACAAGTCTACTACAATATTTTAATGTGTTAAGAAACTTAGGTGAGAGTGGGAAGAAGTGAAATGTGGGAGAAGTGAGACAGCCTGAAATTTCTAATTAGGAGTCGTGCCTAAATACTATTATTTAATGTAAACAATTAATTTCTTCCCCTCTATTTATCAGCAATTGCTTTGTTTCGCTGCGTGTGCTAGAAGCGCTAATTTTGAAATGTATCTTAAAAAAGTGTTTACATTGGGGTGAAGTGGGACAGAAAAAAGAAATATTTATGCTCGCTTCTTCCCATCGCCCGTTGATTATTTTGATTGGCAAAAGCTCTTGAACATTTTTATTTCAATTAGGTGATTTTATGATTTTATCAGTTTGTATTTAATAGTTTGTGTTAAAATGTTGTTTTAAAATTATTTGTCCCACTTCTACTCACGCTTTTACCACATTACCCCAATGGCACGGTTTCTCTAAAAGCAAAAATTTATATACTTAGTTATAATTGGCTGGAAACCTAAGAAGATTGAATTAGTGCCTAAAAAGAAATTTTAGACATAAAAACTTGGTTTGTTCCACTTCTCCCCACTCTACCCTATATTACTGTATAATAAAAAAAACAATTAATAATAATAAGTTTCTTGTTTACCACAAAAAAAAAAAAAAAAAAAAATTGGCACTGTAAAAGACTTAAACTGATACTTAAAAAGAACAAATTGATAAAAAAATTCTATGAGTTGCACCAATTGATAAATTTGATGAATGTCAAAGGCAATGAGTACGAATACCTACAACTGATGCCAATGTTTAAATTTGTAGCTAAATATATTTAGGAGTTTAAAGTATTTCTAGTGTAATGGTTGTATTTTAAATTACATTAAAAAAAATTAAATATACTACATAAATATATTCTAGGAATTTAAAGTATTTGAAAAAAGAAATTTGCATTTAAATTATTTATGGCATTATTTTATGTTTGCATACAAAGTAGAAATACAAAAGTGAACAAAAATAATGCCCTCAAAACAGATAGCATTGACTAATGGCATTCAATGCCAAAAGCAATGCATCAGTGCACCCCTAAAAAAACTGTGGGGTTGTTTGCATTTGAGATCAAGGTTGATATGTGCAACCAACCATTGATACTGTGATTGCAAATTAGTTAAAAAAGGTATTAAAAAATGAAAATTAAAAATAAATTTAACCTCGCTCTAATTGTCTGACCCAATATTGAGCATCTGTGTTTGTTTTACTTGAAGTTCCAACTGAAAAGTTTAAAACATTAATAAAAACTGAAGTTTTAAATGAAAGCAACATTACAAATGTGATATATGACTTAAAAAGAAATTAGAATTGGAACCCTCTCACACAATTACTATAACAACCTAAACAGTTTTTTTACCATATCTAAATAACAATTCAATTTAAAATTTACCTTTACTTGCTTTTAATGAACTAGTTTCTTTTTCCATTGATTGATGTATTAAATTTAATTGATTCATGGTTTGACTATATGAGTCTGAAATTGATCGAATGCTGTTGTATAATTCAACATATTGATTGCCAGCATCAGTAACAGCAGAACAATGAGATTCTAAATAATAAAGAAAAATATTGAGTTTTTAGCAATAAACTTAAAAAAACATTGAATAACAAAAATATTTAAGGGGTTAGAAAAACATATCTGCTGACCAGCCTTGCACTCTTTCTTCATATAATAGGTTGTTGCAGATATAATTCTGTGTTTAGATGATGAATCCTGGATTATTATTTTTGATTCTACTTATGGCTATTTGCTTGTACTTCCATAAAAATGGTTATAAAATATATATTTTTTTGTTATTTCCTAATAAAAAGACAGCTTTTTCATCAACAGCTGTAAAATATCAGTTTCCCTAAAAGTGATTTTGGTGTGCATTATCAACGCTATATAAAGAAACTTTTGTTAAAACTTAACTATCAAGATAGTGCCATGCACTATTGGTGATTGAATCAAGTTCTTTAATAATTTAATGACTATATTAACATAAAAAAATTCACCAGACCAGAAGTTGTTCATTGAAAGAATAATTTACAGTTTTATTTTTAGATCTCAGTGATGATGGCTACTTGTCCCCTAATTAGCAAAATTCAATAGTTACAAACATGACCTGGGTATATACTTACACACCAATTCAGTTTTTTTGTTGCAATATCTGGATTAAATCCTCAAACTAATCTTTTGTGATTTCACTTTTCACTTTTCTCAAATACTTTTCTCTTTGTTCTTCATTGTCTTCAGTGTTACTTCTAATCAAATTGACCAGGGGCCTTTTATTCAACTTATTCATCAGCTACTTTGTTGTTATTGGTAACTTTAATTCTTTTCATATTAATTGGGTTGGCTCTAGTACTACCATGCTGGTAGTAAGGCATAAAACCTTTGTCTTTATCAATTTCATACATAGATAACTTTATTACTCTTTTTTTGAACGTTCTTAATCACTAACTTTCACTCCCTAATTTGTGTCTTATTTTTGAAACTAGCTTGTGTACAGTTTCTCATTAATCTATTTTAAATGGCCATCAGACTATAATCACATCAGATTCACTTTAAAATTTACTACTACTTTATTGGTTGAATGAAATTTCTAGTTTAAGATTCATTATGATTATCTTTAGATTAATATCTACTATTCATCTACCTTTATTCTTTATCTATTATCATTTACCTTTCATCTTCTAGAATTAACTCTTACTTCCAATCTTTCTTAGAAACCATATATCAAATCAATTTCAAAATTAGCATTTTCTAAGGTTGCTTTCTCACTCAGGACCCTATTCTTTATCTCTATAAATCTCAAATTCGCCCTTTTATGGATTACTGTTACCATATCTGAGGTGGCTCTTCCAATGATGTCTTATCTCTTCCAACTCTAATAAAGGTTGCTTGCAGCCTTGTTGGAAGTGAAGATGTCAAAAAAACAAAAAAAGATTAAGACATTTAGGAATTTAGCCCAAATGTCTGGGTCTTGGTCTTGATTTGGACATAATTGTTTTGACTACATCTCTGGTTTTTTTACTTTAACATTAATGCTTTAAAATTCTCTTCTGTTATTTTCATGAATCATGCAATTTACAGTTTTTAATTCTTCTATCAACAGCTTTTTTTCACTGTAACTATTATAATTGCCTTTTTTTTTCCAATATTAAATAATGTTTGCTTGCAGGTTTGTTGGAAGTGAATTTATTAAAGTAAAAAAAAAAAAATTAAACTTAAAAAAAATATATTGAGTTAAAATAATTTAATACTGTTTGAGGGTAGTGCTCTCACAACTAATTTAGCTTTCTTCAAGGAACTTTCAGGATCAAAGGCACTTAAAGCTGCCCAAGGTGAACTATACAAAAATGCATTTTTTGTTTTAAGACTGCGAGTTACAGTGTAATGATTCTCATCTAATAGGGCGCGACTACTGGCGGTTAGCTGTGGCAGTTGAAGCTTCTGTGTGTGGAATGTCAAAAGTTGTAAATCAATGACTGAGTTATTGAAAGAAGGCAACATATCTTTTGTTTGACTATTGGATTGTACATCTTCTTGTACTGGAACATTTTCATATTTCTAAATACAAAATAACAAATCACTATAATCAAATTTTTTTTTTTACAATTCATTTGAAAATTTATTCTATATTGACAAACCTTTAAGAGATTTTTTAAAGATGTTTCTAACGAATTCAAATTTTCTTCTTGTTTCGCTACATATATGCTTTCAAATTGATAAAATTCTTCAATATTAGGGAATTGAGTTCCCAAATAATCCTTTGCAATCTCTAAATGAAAAATGAAAAACAAAAGCAAATAAACATGTTCTTTAAAATAATAAAGGAAAAACCTTTAATCTATAATAACAATTATATATTTAATATATAGTATATATAATTATATTATATACTAACTGTTTGCAAAGTAAGTTGCATATTCCCCATTAAAACACTGACAAAGTTCAAGGTTTCTATCGTCAAATTGAAACATCCTATAAGTTACTTGAAAGCCTTCAACACAGTTGTCACCTTGCATTTTTATATCTACAACCTAAAGAAGTTTTTTTTATTTTCCTGACTAAACAGGAGCAAATACTGTAATAAATAGATCAAAGCATTATAATATCTAAAAAATATTAAAAAATAATAAAAAGATGTAAAAAAAAAAATAATAATAATAAAATAAATTTTAAAAAAAACCTTACATATGCATTTAATTCAAATTTTTTTATATCAAAAAAAATTTCGTTTTTGGCAGACATTTCATTAACTCCATTCAACATTGCAAACAGATCTTTGTATTTTTCTTTTTTTTGATTGAAATCATCAGCATTAAGTTTAGATTGTGATTCAAAGGATGTGTACAATTTGTGAATATCTTTTGCCTCATCATTTAATTTATCAAAGTCATTCAAGATTTTCTTTAAAAAAATAAAAAAAGTAAAGTAAGAGATGAAAGATAAATGTTAAATATTAATATTACATTAAAATCTTGCCTAATCTTGAATAAATTGCCTAAACTTATATTTTATACATTTTAGTAGAATCTATAAAAAACAAATAGTAGCTGTTAAACTTTAAGTCAAAAGGCGGATAGCACATTAATTCTACTTTTTTATTGTATGTTGATTTCATCCTAAAAGAAATTAATAATGAATAAATAATAAACAACAGCTTTTACCTTGTAAAAGCATGTTGTTAATTTTTTAGGTAGAACTAAACTTATTTAAAATCTGCAAATACTGATTGTAGCAACAGTTTTTCTCCTAAAATGTAATCTTAGAGATTACGACTTGGATAAACAACTGTAACCTTAGAGATTACAACTTGGATAAACAACTGTAGCCATAGAGATTACAGTTAAGGTTGGTACCTGAATTACAATCTTTAAAACTACTTCGAATTAAAACTGGTAAACTTTAAATGAAAGAACAATACAACATTACAATATCTTGTTATTTACTCCTTAACCTTTAAATAGCTCCTATCATTATATAAAACTGTTTCTTCATGAAATTTTACTTTTTCTATATGAAGGATTGGTGTTTCTTCGTGAAATGATACTGTTTTTTCATGAAATATTACTGTTTCTATATGAAAAATTACTGTTTCTTCATGAAATATTACTGCTCTATCTGATGCTTTATCATTTGTTTTACATAACAATATACTTATTCAATAAAACTTGTTATTTAAATTGAAAAAAAAAAATTTAACAAATTAATTAAGTTAATTTATTAATATTTTCTTTCTTCTTGTTACAATGTTTGTTTTTAATAAAATTGATTTACATAATATTTTTCAGGTGTTATTATTTTCACCATCAAATGTTTTCAGTCAATATTTACTTTTTTCCTTTGATCACCCTCAAGTTTTTTTTTAATCACATAACTAAATTAGTGGTCACTTGTGTTGATTTTGTGTTTATGAAAAAATATTCTAAAAACTTATTTTCAAAGTTTTCAAAAGACGAAGTGATAAATTACAAAAACAAAAAAAAAGTAAATATATATTTCAATTTATGTATACCTTGACATCATTAACTTTATATGAATAATCTTCTGTTGATAAACTCTTTTCAATTTCACACTCTGCAATGCAAGTAACATTTGCTGCATTTTTATAATCTGGCTTCCATTCAAAAGTAATCTCATTGGTTGAAATGTCCTGAGCATTAATTCCAGGTATTTTGACTGTTAAATAAAAAATGTAACTTATATTGTAATGTTATATTAAATGTTAACTTATATTGTAAAATATTAAAAATAGTTATAACTCGATGAAAATCTAAACAAATATTCAGAAACTATTGATAGTATAGATATTGGTGTATTGCGAAGTCAATTTCGATACTAAAAATACAGCAAAGTTAGCTTCTATGTTAAAAATAGGATTGACTTGTAATCATTTTGGTTAAAACTTTTGTATAACTTTAAATGTAATCTACAAATAGATGTTTAAGAGCAATAATAAATTAAATTAGATGAAAACTTATCAAATTAAGACTCATTAGAAATTTTTTTGATGAAATATAATAAAATGAAAAAAAATTTAAAAGCATAAGCATAGAAATGATTGGTGTGGAATACACTTATCATGACCCGTATTATACAGGTCATAATAAGTTCATTATTCCATATATTTTTAAGTCTACTTACAAATTTTGTTGAAATTTTTTATACTGATTGTAATTGAATCACTTTTTGTTAAAAGTATTTTGTCAATAGTTAATAATGTTATTAATTACTTTTTTATTCATAACTTCAAAAGGTAGACAATATGTAAAATTTTTCTATCGCTTACTAAAAATAATTGAAGTAAGAAATAAGCATAGAGATGGTCAATATAGATTAAATTTACCAAGACCTGGGTCCAGACAGTACTAATTAATGCTATTTTTATTGTGTACAATATACTTGTAAATATTTTACAAATAATTCATACAAAAACTAACTATATAGAAACATTTAAAAGCATTTATATCAAATTATATAGAAATGGTTCTTGAATGATTCACAACAATTTGTAAAATATTTTTTAACATCTGTTTCAATAACTTTGATGATTTATTTGTACACTATCATTAAGTATTAGCTAATTAATATCATTAAACATTATCTATTAATTTTTTTTAACACAGGAAGTATCAATGCATCAAACATTCAGCCGATGCATCTGCAAATTTACATATATATATATATATATATATATATATATATATATATATATATATATATATATATATATATATATATATATATATATATATATATATATATATATATATATATATATATATATGTAAATTTCTAATTATATTCCAGGAATAAATCTTACAAGAAATAAAATTAAATAAAAAAATAAATCCACAGCAAGCAAAGCAACTAAGCATTAACCAAACTTTGGTAAATAAGCATTAAATTGACCATTAACATTATACTTGAAAAAATCTTAATTTACCTATTAGTAAAAAAGAAAAGAATAAAAATTCCAATTTAGAGCCGATGCCGATGCATCAGCCGATGCCGATGCATCAGCCAATGCCGATGCATCAGCCGATGCCGATGCATCAGCCGATGCTTTAGTATCTGTTTGTACCAATTAGCATCGGCATCAGCCAAAAGTAAGCATTGATGCACCCCTAGTTAAAACTAAATTCTACAACTATTAAAAAATATATATTTTTAAAATAAATGTTACAACTACATTAAATAAAAACTATATTTCAAATAAATACAATCACATTGATTTTCACATTAAATGAAAAACTTATACCTTCACTTTGGATGCATTTTTGTACACAATCTTGATTGGCAATAGATAAGATGGAATTTATATTTGAAATTTGATCTGATATCATTTTATTTACTGGTTCTAAAGCATCTATTACATTCTTTGTTGAGTTAAACAAAAGATCTTCAGCGGCTATGTTTTGATTGGAAAAAAAATCACCACTGTATGCATTAGAGAATTCTTTTGCTAAACCTTTAAAATGATTTTCTACTGTGCTTTGAATTAAATTCTTAGCATCAGGATCTCTGATTAAATCAACATGAAGCTATATACAAACATATGAATACATTAATAATTGCACTTAAAGTTTTTTTTTTTAGTAAAACACATTAATTGATCTTTTTACTACTATTTTTTAAATATTGTAAAAACAAAAAAGAATAAGAAACTATCAAATAAGTGAAAGTAAAAATAACAAAAAGTGTAAATAAATAATAAGAGTGTTAATAAATGTTAATACTTAACTATTTTTTGATTCAAATAACTTTATTATCAGTAAAGCTTATAAATAAAAAAAATGTATTTTTATGTTTATATTCTTGGTTTTTATACAGTTGTGTGCAATATAATAGTAGTCGGCATTTTATTTTTCTATCAACAAACTTTGAACATCAAAATATAATTTTCTATTGTTTTTTTTATATCGTTATTGTTCATAAACTAAATTACAATAGTATAAAAAAAATTCAAGAAAGATAATTGCAGCACTGTATGGTTTTAAATTTCAATATTATCGATTGAAGGACATTCGTTTTTTTTTTTAGACTGTGCAATAAAATAGTAGTGAAAAATTAATATTTGCTGTACTTATTAAACTCTAATTATTATTAGTTCTTAATAATGAGCAATAAGTAAGTAATTAATTTTGGTATTAGATAAATTTATACACTTACTAAAATTTTGAAAATTTAGAGAAACATGGGGCGCTCTAAACATTATACTGAAGAAGTTCGTAATTTAATTATAAATCTTAAAAATCATGGTAAAGCCTACAAACAAATATAAGAATTGGTTGAATGCTTACCAACAATGATTTGTAATGCTTTAAAATTACTTTTATTTCCACGTTTTTCTTACTGTGTAGGGAACAAACCTTTACTTTATTAAAGAATTTAAAAACAATAACATGCAGTTTGTTGTTTTAGTATACTGTGTTTATGAAGATAAATCTTTAAATAAATATAATTTTAATTATAAAAACAGTATTAAAAACAACTATAAACAATCTTAGAGTATTTAATTCACCAAATTATTGTGCAGTTTAATAGTATTTGAAACCCAAACCAGAAAAACGTGGAAATAAATGATCAACTACCGCTATAGAAGATCGTCCAATTGTATCGTTAGTGAAAAAGGAGTCATTTATTACTTCTAGAAAAATTAAAAAAAAGGCTAGAATTAAATGTTAATACCTCAACTATTCGAAGACGATTAATACATGTCGATTTAAATTCAAAAACATTTAGAAAAGTGCCACACAGTAAAAGACATATCGAAAATTGTTTAAAATTTGCACGTATGCATGCTTCTTGGCCTAAGGAAAAAATGGCGAAATGTTTTGTGGACTGATGAAAGCAAAATTGAAATTTTTGGTTCCTATGTTGGTAAACAGTATGTTAGAAGACCAACGGGTGCAGCATATAAGCCACAATTTACATTAAAGACCGTCAAACATGGAGGTTCAAAAATAATGATATGAGGTTGTTTTTCTCACTATGGTCTTGGACCGATACATCGCATAGAAGGTATCATGGATCGGTTTGTATATGTAAAAATACTTGAAGAGATCATGCTGCCTTATGCTGAAGAAGAAATACCGTTAAAATTTTTGTTCCAGAAGGATAATGATCCCAAACATACGAGCAAGTTAGCCAAATCATGGTTTAATGAGAACAAAATCAATGTAATGGAGTGGGCAGCACAATCCCCCGACTTCAATCTGATTGAAAACTTGTGAATTGATGTTAAACAAGCAGTTTCTGAAAATAATCCAAGATGTTGTAATCAATTGTGGGACGTAGTACAGTCAGCATGGCAAAATATATCTGTTGAACGATGTCAGAGTCATTAATTCCATGCAACAAAAATGCTTGGCGGTTATTACAAATAAAGGTCATGCCACAAAATACTAATGTAGAGCTTCAAAAATATTTTTTTTTTGTAATAAATATTTAATTATTATTTGACCTTTTTCATAAAAAATGATTTTCAATACTATTTTATTGTACAGTCAAAAAAAAAACACGAATGACCTTCAATCGATAATATTAAAATTTAAAACCATACAGTGTTGCAATTATCTTTCTTAAATTTTTTTTAATACAAACATAATAACAATAAACATAATAACAATAAAAAACAAACAATAGAAAAATATATTTTGATGTTCAATGTTTATTGATAGAAAAATAAAATACGCACTACTATTTTACTGCACACGACTGTATATATTTTTGGATATTGACATAAAAATAATGTAATACAACCACAAAGCATGTTGAAGAATTTTGAGGAAAATGATGTAACATTTGGGTAATACAGAGAAACAAGAAATAAATTCTTAAAACAACCTTAAGATTCCCATAAATACTATACTATATTTTAATTTTCTAAAAAAGACAATACTAAAGCCTACACAAGCAAATTTATAGCAATTACAAAGCTTTTTTAACATTTAACTATTAAAAACAAACAAAAACTACTAAACTGCTAAGATATCTCCCGGTGGGAAATCGGCTAGCGAATAGCTAGCTATAATCATAACAATAAAAACAGCAATTTGGTTACGAGGATCGCTAGCTTTTTTAAGTTAGCAAAAAACTATTGATATTTGTAAAGATAAAGACAGCAATTTGGCTACAAGGACAGCTAGTTTAATAAGCTAAAAAACCACTGGCTATTGTAGCTAGTGTCATATTGTAATAAAATTGCTGTCTAAAAAATTTTAATATGTAGCTATCAACCAGCTATAGATTTGTAGATATTTTGTAGCTAGCTACAAAGCTATGATATGTAGCTAGCGACACATTGCTACAAAATTGCAATGTTTAAAGTTCAATTACTCTCATAATTATAATAGACTCAACACTAAAAATCGAATTTTTAAAGATGTTAATTTAAAATAAATCTTAAAGCAATGTGGAAATGGTAAAAATGTTAAGTAAAACTGGAGACTCAAGGGAGATGTAATATTTTTAAAATATTACATCTCTTTTTCATCATCTTTTAAAAACTATTGTATAAACAACTAATTTAAGTGTCCAAATTTGTTTTTGTATGTGCAAAAAGCAAAATATATATCATAAAAACATGAACATAGCAACCAAATAAAGGTAAAAGTTGTACAATAAAACATTTGTAAAATTCAGAAAATCACAATCCGAAAAACTTTTTTTATAACAGCATATTATGTAAATCATCTTAAGTCATCAGAAAAGTTCTTTCTGTTAATTTTCCTAACCATGTTAAATAGAGTGACACAAAATTTCTGTTTTTTTTTTTAATATTTTACAAAGCCATTTTTCTTTTTTAGCAAATATTCCTTGATACCTTGCAAAATATTGATTTTAACTTTATTTCCTCTTAAGTTTATTATTTTAATTTGAATTTGAAACTTTTTAATAACAGATTGTTAAAAAGTTTTAAAATTATTAAAATTATAAATTTTAAAATTATTTAAAAAAGATTACACAATTAGTTTTCAATAGTTTACTGCATTGAGTCAAATACTATTAAACTGCACAATAATTTGGTGAATTAAATACTCTAAGATTGTTTATAGTTGTTTTTAATACTGTTTTTATAATTAAAATTATATTTATTTAAAGATTTATCTTCATAAACACAGTATACTAAAACAACAAACTGCATGTTATTGTTTTTAAATTCTTTAATAAAGTAAAGGTTTGTTCCTAACACAATAAAAAAAGGTATAAATTTCTACCTTTAGGGTATATCCTACCCCTTTGAGGTTAAAAATTTTACCTTAAAGATAAAAAATTATACCAAAAATGGTCATCTATGGTATAATTTGCTAAGGGTATAATGTTCTAACTTAAAAAGTATAATTCTCTACTTTAGGGGTAAGATATGTGATATACCCTTGAAGGTAGAATATTTGATATTTACCTTAAATATAACCTTTATAATGTTTCTACTTTCTTTTTTAGAGTGTAGTAACTTTGAGAATTTACAACACCTTTACTTATCAAAGGTTTATATTTTACATAAATGCTTACATTGTTTATACTTATGTATACTTGTATGATAAGCTAGCAAAAAAAAAATTGTATAACAAGCTAATAACACATGTAACAACTAGATATCATGAAATGAAAAAACACTATAATAGTTAAATTGAAAAAGTTACTTACTTTGGGATTAATATCTTTTAAAGAAGCTAAACTTATTTCTTGTTTAATGGAAATATCAGCTTTTGCTTCACTAAAAAATTTTGATTCTGGAAAAAGGCTGAACCGACCATCATTCTTAACTTCAAAATCGAAATCTTCAGAAATGCCAATTGTTTCAATTTCTCCTTGGAAACTAGATTTAAAAGTCTTTGTTCTGCAAAAGTTCCAATCTAACTTTAATTTGGCTGAAAAACAAAAAAAAAAAAATGTAATAAGCCAGAATGAATTTTAGTAACAAAAAAAAAAAAAAAAAAAAATTGCATAAAAACACTCACGCCCCATAGAACGATCCCCTTTATGATAAATTTTAAAATTTTGCTTAGTATCACTTAACATTGGAAGCCATTCTTCATATCTTATCAAACATTTTTTTATTTCTATTTTATAATCAAATGTATCAACTAGATTTCTTTTAACAGATCCAAATAAAGTTAACACTGAGTCTCGAGCAGTGCGGTTTCCAGCATCAACGACTATAGTGTCTAAATAAATGCGCTTTTAAAAATGACGCTCAGTTTTGAACAACAATATCTTCTAATGAACTAAAAGAAATAAAACAAATCTTACTTTTTCCAGCCAACACTAATAAAGATCCCTCATTGAATGTCGAATCAGCAAATATAAACTTGCTCTTAATACCTCTTAGTTCTTCATTTAATTGAAATTTTCTAAATGTAAAGATTAATTTTACAAAATAAAAAATACACTTAAAACTACAAAAGAATTAGAACAGTTTTAAATATGAAACAGTAAAAAGTCACCTAAAAAATATTTTTCTCATATGCTTTAAACAGAGAAAAAAAATTTGGGTCAATTGAAATTTTATTTCAATTTTTATTCTATAAAAATACTTTTCTTACATTTTTGAAATTTAAGGAAAAAAAATCATTATTACCATGGAAATGTCTGTATATGTATGAGTATTTGTCTCATTTTGTTTAATTGTCTTATGGTGATTAGAAAATATTTAATAACTGAAATTTAATATTACCAATTACTACCATATTAAAGCAAATACTTTTTACTTTATTGCATCAAACTACAAATTGAATATTTTAATAATCAATAATTTAAAATCTAATATATTTAATAATTAATAATATCTTAATAATCAATAATTTAAAATCTAATATATTTAAAAAGTTTTTATAGCTTTTAATAAACTAAATAGCATTGCTTTTTTAAATAAAAACTTTTTTGAAATAACATTAGTTAGCTCTCAATTTAGAAAGTAACTCATGTCATGTTAATTATAAGAAATACAATTATCTCTTATAATATTAATAGTGAATCTTTATTCATAACATGGAATATTAGAAAGTTTTTTTTAGAAGCTGAACTTTAAAATTCCTTAGCTGGTATTTTACAGATACGAAAATTGAGTGGATTTATTGACACATTCCTTAAAAAAATTTTATGTTCCAAAAGCCTCATAAATAAATAAAAAAATTAAGCAAAAATTAAATTATATCAATTTAATATAGTGTTAAATATATTAATGAAAAACAGCAACAATAAAACTCACGTTAAAACTGCGTTAAAGTTCTTAAGATTCATCTTGGATGAAAAATACATTTGACTGGGTTCTCCTATATCGAATGACAAGCAAGCACGTTTCAAAATTGTTTCTCTGTCTTGAAATACCAGTTTTGTTTTTGACTCAAAATCTACATTATAATTAAAAAAAAAAAAAAAAAACTTAACAAACATGTAAACTTAAATTTTATCAACAGAAAAGTAGAAAATGAATTGATTACAATATTTTCATTTTAAGTAAAAAAAAAAAAGCAATAACAATTTATTTATACAAAAAGAAAACCAGATAGTCAAAGTATCATTCTATATTTTTCTAATTATTATGTTATAATGTTAACATAGTTTTCACATATATTCAAATATTTTTATACACTGAAAATTACAACAGTATGAAATTATTCTTTGACATTATGAACAGGGCTTGGTTACTTTATGATAAAACAATTGATCAAATGAATGACGCATTTTTATACTACCAATATGAAATTATTCTTTGACATTGTGAACAGGGCTTGGTTACTTTATGATAAAACAATTGATCAAATGAATGACACATTTTTATACTACCAATATGAAATTATTCTTTGACATTGTGAACAGGGCTTGGTTACTTTATGATAAAACAATTGATCAAATGAATGACACATTTTTATACTACCAATATGAAATTATTCTTTGACATTGTGAACAGGGCTTGGTTACTTTATGATAAAACAATTGATCAAATGAATGACACATTTTTATACTACCAATATGAAATTATTCTTTGACATTGTGAACAGGGCTTGGTTATTTTATGATAAAACAATTGATCAAATGAATGACACATTTTTATACTACCAATATGAAATTATTTTTTGACATTGTGAACAGGGCTTGGTTACTTTATGATAAAACAATTGATCAAATGAATGACGCATTTTTATACTACCAATATGAAATTATTCTTTGATATTGTGAACAGGGCTTGGTTACTTTATGATAAAACAATTGATCAAATGAATGACACAGTTTTATACTACCAATATGAAATTATTCTTTGACATTGTGAACAGGGCTTGGTTATTTTATGATAAAACAATTGATCAAATGAATGACACATTTTTATACTACCAATATGAAATTATTCTTTGACATTGTGAACAGGGCTTGGTTACTTTATGATAAAACAATTGATCAAATGAATGACACATTTTTATACTACCAATATGAAATTATTCTTTGACATTGTGAACAGGGCTTGGTTACTTTATGATAAAACAATTGATCAAATGTATGACACATTTTTATACTACTCTACAGTCTCTTGAAAAAGTTTAGAATCAGTTAAGTATTTTTAGATAAATCCATAATTTATTGAAAATGACATGACACAAATGACACAAAGATTTAATTTATGTTATATACCTATATGTGTATGTATATAACAAAAAGAAGTAAAAAACATACCAAAAATTGAAAAAACATTATCATTTGCAACACTTTTTCCATCAGATACATGAAACTCAGCTTCGCTACGAAGAACTTTAACAATGGCATTTTTACACTGAAGTGTTAGCAGACCTGTATCACAACTTGAAATCTCACCTGAAAAAAATTAATTTTGTTAGTTTTTATAATTTAGCATTTAGGCCTGATTTCTCTGTAATTAGTCTATATGATTAAGCTTTCGCCTAAATTCTCTATAACTGGTCACCATAATTTAACATTAGAATTTTCTACAATTAGCTGCTATGATTTAGCATTTAGGCTTAAGTTTCGATTGGATAAAATGCTTTGCTAAGCACAACATATTTCACTAATTATCATTTTATATAACAGTGATAAATAATTTTGATAAAAACTAAGTTTTTATTTATTTATTTTATGTATTATTTTTTATTTATCTTATGTTTTATTTATTTCAATTTTGTATTACAAAATTATTCTTTGCTCAATAATGAACCTTTATAAAAAGAAAGATTTTTTTATTTACAAAAACTTATGTTCAGTTAGTCAAGGCTCCAAAGCAGACATTTTAATCAAAAATATTTTTTTTATTTATTTTTTATTTATTATTTCAATTATTTTCATTTTGTTGTTTTTGTTGTTGTTTGTCTTATTTCAATAAACTTTATGGAAAAAATTATTAAAAAAAAAAAAAATTAAATTAAAAAAAACAAGGAGAAACAAGGTTTTTTGTCTGTTTTAGTAACCCTGTTACTAATCGTAAGTAACCTTTTAAGCTAATGTAATTTATTATAAACTATTATTTAAATTATTTATTGTTAGTTATTAATTAAAAAAGATATAATGATACCGTCAAATACAAAATTAAGATTTTCGTTAATATTCTCAAAACTGCCTTTAAGAACCATTCCAACAACTCTTTCAGTTTCTTTTATAGTAGTACTATCTTCAACCGAACGCACTTCAGGTTTTTTGTGATGACTGCTATGTTTTTTGCGACGGTGCTTGACTACAACGCTGTCTTCAACATTTTTTGATATTTCAACTGTAACAGTTTCTTTTACAATTTCTTTAATGTGCAGAGAAGGATTTTTAATAATTAAATCGTCGTGATCTTTTAATGTGAAAAATGAATTAACAAGACTAGGTTTTGCTTCAAAGCTGAACATTGTTTGAGAAATAGTACCTATGTAAAAAGTTTGCATATTTTTTTCATATTTATTTAAAATTTAACTTGATATTTAAATTAATAAAAATTAATACCTTCGCCATACTTAAGGACATTAAAGATCTCTGGGTTGTTTTTAATAAAATTGAGAATATCTTGTTTTTTTGGGGGGTTTTCATTGGCAATTTCATCTTTAGTTGTTTGGTCATTTGTTACTATATTTTTGACAGATTCTTCGTATGAAATACTTCCAGTGAAATGAATACCTAAAAAAACAAAAAAAAAACAATTTGTTTTTTTACTTTTTTTGTTATTCTAAATGAAATATAGAAACAAACTAAATGTAAAAAATAATTAAAAGAAAAAAACTAGTTAAAATAAAAAAGATTTTTACTTTTTATTACCTGGTTTTATAACTAAGGCATCCTTTACTTTAGTCAAAGCTTCACTTTCAAAACTCTTCACTATTTCCAAATTTTTTTCTTCAGCTTTTCCCATAATATAACCTTAAAAAAAATAACAAATTTTGAAAATAATTTGCAAATTACGCAAATAAAAAATTCAAAAAATTAAATTTAAAAAAATAAATAAATAAACAAATAAATAAATATATTTAATACTTGAACTTATTTAAAATAAAACAACAAATTGTTTTATTTTAAAGTTCAATTATTAAAAGATTAAAATACAAATTTTGAGAGAGAATTATTTAAGAGATAAAAGAAAAGACAAAAAAAGAAAAACAAAGTTTAATTGTGATGAGAAATGATTAGAGGCTTTTTTATCAACTATAAATTTTTTAAACTTAATTTTAAAAAGCTACATGGCATACACACAGTGGGCCAAACAGTGGATATTGCTTAAAAATCAATATTACGAAAATAAAATTAAGTTAGTTGTTATTGAAAGCCAAATAAATTTACAGTTTATTAATAAAAAAATTATTTCAAAAGTATAATTCGTTCAGAAAATAAACTAGTTTGAATAACCTAAATTTGTTACAAAAGATAGGTAATAGGAATAAATGATACATAAAAGTCATTTTTGGCATTGTATAAGAAAAAATGTCACTTTATGACGAGTACTAATGTGATAATTGTATGTAGAACAATCTTAGACTACAGTTTATGAAAATGTGAATTTCAATTTCATAGATTGCACAAATTATTTTTTACATGTAATACCTAATAAAACAACCAAAATTTAGCAAAATTTTGGTGTTTTTTGAGATAAAATGATTCATCTCAAAAAATACTAAGTTGGCACTAGTAAACCCATATATTTTTAAACTCCTATTAACAAAAAAGAATAAGATGCTTTTTAACTTAATTGTGCCAACTTAGCACTTTTTAAAGAAAACACATTTTTTTTAGTGAAAGATTATTCAAATTATTTTCCATCATTTGCTACACATTTTTTCCATCTTTCAGGCAACTTACAAATTCCATCTCAATAAAATTGTTTGTTTTTTGAAGCAAATCACTCATCAACCCATTTTTTGACTTCTTCAACTTCATTGAAGTGCTGATCTGCAAGCTTCAATGACATTGATAAAAGCAAATGGTAATGAGATGGAGCTATGTCTGGTGAATATGGCGGGTGTGGTAATTCTTCTCATTCAAGTGCATCTAATGTATTTTTCACACCTTTTGATTTGTGTGGTCAAGAATTGTTATGTTGCAAAATTACTTTTTCATGCCTATTCTTCCATTCCGGTCAATTTTCAATCAATAAATGGTTCAAATTGATGATTTGTTGTCGATAGCGCTCAGAATGAACCGTTTGACCAGGTTCCAAGAGCTCATAGTACACGATTCCCTTCTGATCCCACCAAACACACAGCATTCTCTTCTTTCTGAATCGATTTGTTTTTACAGTCGATGTAGATGGTTGTCCTGGTGAAACCCATGATCTTTTGCGTTTTGGATTTTTAAAAAATATAAATTTTTCATTTCCAGTAATGATTCGATGCAAAAAATCATATACAAACATATACAGGGCATTCGTATACAAGCCAAAGAAAACTTCTTTCAACTGCTGGTTTCAATATATTGCCTAGCTAGAAAAATCTCAGGACAAAACAATTTGAAGTTACAAATTATTATGAATTATCTTGAACTATATTTTGGAGTTTACTTCAGTCTATTTCAGGCAATTAAACTGAGGATGATAAGAATATTGAAGAACATTTTATTAGATATAAACAGTGATAATATGCTAATGAAAATGAAGTTCGGATTTTAAGGTAGTAGAAGCCATGCCATATTTCATCAAAAAGATAATATTAACAGTAGCAATATCATAATGAAAATGTTTTGTCCACTTGAAATGAAAACAGGTTTGTTAATATGGTTGCAAAAGTTACCAAACACCCCACAGAGTCACAGAGTGCTATGTCTTCAAATAGAAAAAGAATCAAAAGAAACTTTTCAATAAATGTCTGTCTTTAATTCTGATGTCAAACAGTTAAAAAATAAAGTTTTCTTGTGTATAAAGAGGGATAACAATTTAATGTAAAGGTGATAGTTCAGTTATGTATAATGAATATGAAAGCAGCGAATCTTTTTTTAGGAGTTCGAGGTGCATATTTTGATCTGTGCACATGCTCAAAAAATCAGTGTCAAAAAAATTGAAAATGTTTTTGTAATGAATCAAGACACTATAACTATGAATGAAATGTTTAACCAACTTACAAGTACATTGGTATCAATACAAGTACATTGGTATTTTGTAATAGTGTTCATATTATTCTATATTCTTAATATGTAAACATACTTAATATTAAAAATTACTGATATTTTTATAGGTTTTTCATGCTTTACTGGGTACATTTTGACCATTTCATGAAGACTGTTGTACATGTGAGAGCTGGTGTTTTTTATTGGTCTGAGAACCATTTCAGTGTTTCAAATAGATTTCTGAAGCAAGCAGAGACTTCACTACAAACAGAGATATCAAAATAAACAGGTATAAAATGGGACTACTCTGATAAAATTAAAAAAAGAGTTACAACAACAACAGCAGGTATAGCTAGAGAACTATTGCACAAAAAAAATTATTTTGATAATTTTTATTGTTTTTGTCATTGATGTACCTTTGTTACCTTTGTATTACAAAATATACATACATATTTATAAACATTTATATGTACTTTTGTTATCAACAATGAAAAAGCAAATTTTATGAAATTTTCAATATTTTGTTCTTTTAAATTATGACCTAAATATCCTGCAGCAAAATTATTTTTTAGTTTTTCCAAAATTTACACATAAAAAACTTTCCGAAAAGTCTTTAATCAACCTCATAGCACTTTTCATTTAATAGTTATGAACAAGTGTCTATGAAAACAGCTGTT